TTTTTTAATCATTGTTTTTTGTTTATTATTATTATTATTATCATTGTTATCATTATTACTGCTATTATTATTATTATTAATATCATTATATTATCATTATTATTATTGTTATTATTATAATAATAATAATTATTATTATCATAATTACTATTATTACTACTATTATTATTATTATTATTATTGTTATTATTTACTGATCTAAGGCTTCTTTAGTTAAAATGTTTACCTCAACTGTCAATGTCGCATTTCCTCCTGTTTTGTAAACTCTATCTGAGAGACCTTGACACATGACACAAATAAAAAGCAAAGCTGCAGGATGAGAATATGTGTAGAGTTCATCGCTGAATACACCTTTCAATTGTTTAGTTGTTTTCTACTAAAAAGATGAAGATTCTTATACTACATGTATTTAAAACCATTTACACTCTATCTCGGTCGGTACATTAACTTTATAACTTCATTAGTAAAGCCAAAGACTTAATAGTGCAATAACTTATAACTTCATGAGTAAAGCCTTTTTCAAATTATATATAATTCAAGTTGTTTTTTTTGTCAACAAGGGACTCTATAAATGTTTTATTTCTTTTTTGTCGACCGCAATTAGCAATGCTGAGAGTGAAAAAATAATTATCAATCTGAGATTCATGCTGTTGAGTCTTGTAAAACAAACATGCCATTTTGTGATGTTTTGATTGACAAAAGTATTTATTTTTATGCCATTCATCCTCCATCTTCCTTTTAAATGATTAATGTAAGTTTCCCCAAGATAGCTCTTCTAAATTCATAAATTCCGTCAACTTGTTTAGAAATAAGAAAGAAAATTGCTAAGGCACAATATCTGACATAAAGCTTAGGCATACGGAGTTTGGTGTAGTGTTCGATTGTTTGCAAAATCTATCGTGAACTGATAAATTTTGTTGTAATAAATACAGAAAAGAGGGTCACCTCCAACTGTGATATGAGCATACTTGTAAAACTTATCACTTATTGTACAAAATAGGTGGCATTGTCCAAGCTTTATGATGAAATTGGGATAAATGAATAAATATATAGTAAATATAAAAAAGGTAAACAAAATTATAAAAATACTCATTCCTTTTTAAGGTAATAACTAAGTAAATTATAACCAAAATATATTTTCAAGGTGCAAATTCTGATAGTACCCAATAAAAAAACCAATAAAAAAACACAAAAAAACCCATGACTCTACCCAGTAAAGAGGTCTAAATTCACTTCAAAATAATATTGTACAACAATTCGTCCATATATTTATTTTCAATTATTTTCTTATAGAACCCCGCAAAGACATATGATACAATGCAGCACTGCATGTTTTTGAGGAAATTGACGTCAATGGTATAACATAAAGGTTTATTTATTTTGATCTGCTTAGCGATTGATTTTGAATAGTTGACTTGATTTGAATAGTATTTACATTGCGTGATTTAAATAATTCAGCTGAAATGGAAGGGAATTTTCCAAAATATAAACAAGTAGATCCTATTTCAGAGCTCGTTTTGCAAACATATTATTGCGGCTGGGATAAAGCTTTTATGTCAGCCTGTTATGAATAAATAAATCTGTTCGTCGCGGTCTACTGTGCTTATATAATTATGCAGCGCAAGTATAAGTTGATATAACTGAAAAGTGTATCATATTAAGTTGTCATTGAACAAATCAATTAAATCTAGCAAATGTTTTTGAAAAACTGAAAGATCGCACTGGAAAAATATATAAGTTAAATCACAAATGGCACTTTTTTAAATTTCAGATGTCGTCCTATTTAACGTAGTTTAAAAAGCAATATTTCGAAAAGAACAACCGGTTCTTCCTTTCCTAAATATTTTTTCCATATACGACAAATGAAAAATAAGATAAAAAATGACATTTTATTTTAAAAAAAATAGTAAAAATTTCACTAAAAGGAATATAAAGAACGTTTTGTTGTTAATTGTTTTGCAAAAGCATTGCCTTTCCCGTCGGTCTGTTAAATTTGTTGCTGCCTGACTGCGCTATGATTTCTGAAATAATGTGCGCTATTATATTTTTCATAAGACCGCACTTTACTAAAATATAATGGTAAAAAATTCAACAAGGAATTAAATCATTGTTTGAATACTTAGTAACTAAAATACCCAGTAAAATGCTCTCAAAAGACGGCCTGTATAATGAGCATTTAATAAAAATGTCAATTACATTCACACGCAGAAACACTGTAGTGTCCAACAAAAACTTATTATAAGTGTGCTTTAATATTTGTTAGACCGGTGACGTCATTGAAAACAGCATATGAGCCGCGCCACGACAAAACCAAAGTAATGCGTTTGCGACCAGCATGGATCCAGACCAGTCTGTGTATCCGCGCAGTCTGATCAGGATCCATGCTGTTCGTTTACAAGTAGAGAAACTGATAGCGAACAGCATGGATCCTGATCAGACTGCGCGGATTAAGTTGGTTTTCTCGTGACGCGGCTCATATTATTTAAATGCACTTGACACTTACATTAATGAAGAAGGAACACATTTATTAAAGGTATAAATAAAATTAATTTATCTTACGTTGATTAATACGAAGCAGAATAATTCAACTCATATTCGGAGAGGAATGTTTCAAAATGCAATGTATATGTCCGAAACTGGTTACACAACACTTGTTTTCTTACGTTTTATCCCCTATCATTTAGTCGTAGCAACCATTTAGTCCGAAACCTCAGCTTGGTATATATTCAAATAAACTCAGATAAGCCCTTGCCCAAGATGTACATCAAGTACTGTAACGTAACTTTCAAGCAAAAATTCATTTAATGTAAGGTCATCGATACCTTAAACGGGAGGCAAAATGTCTCATTGTATTTAGCAATGAAAATTATTGCACATATATTTTTACATTAAATGACAAGTCACGTTACGAGGTATACATTAATAGAAAAGAAACAGTAACATTAACTGAAAGATTCTGAGTTGTTGCTGTGGTTGTTGCACGTTTTTGAAAATGCGTGACCCAGGGCGCGACATTATATTTGCAAAAGCGGTTCCAGGGAGTTATGTAACATGTATTATCAACAAGTTATGACAAACGACGTCTAACTCGAACTAGTCAATAGTAACTTTCTACACAATACAGATAACGGAATGCGGCGGAATAGCCGGTTTAGATGTATTATTTGATGAAAGGATAGCAACCGTGCAACTTACTTTCTTGCCTTTACATCACCAGATGCCCTCGAACTTATTAGATTATTCGGACGTGCTTAAATGCGTTGAAATGCATCCTTAAATCATGTAAATAGTGCATTAACCCTCTTTTTATCGGAGTTACAAAATATGGTTGAACACAAGTACGTTAAATCAATAAATTACCTTCTATTATATGCATGAACGTATTCAATATAAAATAAAATAATGAATAAAGTTGTTTTATGAGATAAATACCTGTTAAAATATATATCGACATCGTATAAACTGTTTACTCCTTAACTTCTCGTAATAATATGACAGCGACGGTAAATAAACTGCTACCATAAAATGCGCATGCGTCAATCTATTTTTAGAGATAAAAGCTCATATTCTAGTCAAGTGTCTCTGGGTGGCGGAAGGTTCCCTTTTTGGCGGGTTTTACCTCCAAGTTTGGTTATTTCGATACAAGTGTGTTCATGCCATGTTTGTTATTATGTAACATTTGTCATTTATGGCATTTATTAAATGCCCTATTTCATTCAACCTAAGTGTTGTGTTTTATCTCATACCAAACAAGTAAGTCTTGCAAGTTATATTTGCTTGACCTGGACAATACAAAAAATGGTATTCCACAACCACTTTGAAATTATATGACAGCTTAGCTATGTTTCTTTTTTAATAATGGAAGTAAATCTTTTATTATTAAATAACATTAACATATTTTATTATGATAAGGATGTTATAGATGTTGAATTAAACAGGGAAGTTATTTTCATATGAACAATTTACAAAAGAGTGTTTAGAAATTGATAAGGTCATATGCAGTTACGATTACATGTTTATAAACAGATTGTTTTTCTAAACTTCTTGGGCGATTGATCAGGCAGCCATCTATCCAGAGTGATCAATGTGCATACAATTTAGCTAATTAGTGCTCACCGATTTTTTTAAGCCAATCGCCGACGAGGTTTTTTCAAATTTTCAGGTTTCAAATCTTAATAGAACAGATTTTAATATATAAACTGGACGTTTTTTATTATAAAACGCAAGTGGGTGGAGCACTAAGCCGGTTAGAGTGCATATTGGATGTTCTTCGTAAATAAGAAAGCTACAGTCGCTTCGCAAGCTCCGCTCCTTTTTAGCTTTCTTATTTACGAAGAACACCCAATATGCACTCTAACCTATACATAAATTTGAAATAATCCAGATTTGAATAGTGAGAAATATGGTGATCTGAAAATAGTGTACTCTTTTACTAACCAACTCTTACAGTAAAGAGAAAGAATGTCATTGGTTGAAATATTTGAGCCGCGTCATGACAAAACAAACATAATGCATTTGCGACCAGCATGATTCGCTATCAGTTTTTCTACTTGTTATAGCTAGGGTTTGTAAGCGAACAGCATGGATGCGCAGGCTGGTCTGGATCCATCCTTGTCGCAAACGCATTACGTTGGTTTTGTCGTGACGGGGCTCATATATCATTGTAGAGTATACTACTAAGATATATTCAGATGGCAAATAACACGACAAAGTGTTTGGTAATAAAAAAAACCGCACCAAAAGCACTGTCATTCAGCTACCGGTTACTTTATGGCTGTCATTATTGAATTTGAATAAAGTGATAAAATGATTTGGCATTAAATATCGACGAGGTACTCTTTCAATTTACTCACTGCAAAGGTGATTTATAATAAACCTGCACGACACTCTCAGTTCATAAAAGGGAGAATACTCTAGAAATTAAACTACTTAACACTGTATTTTATTTACAGAGTAATAACCTTCTATTTGTCAAGAATAAATGTCAGTATTTTGCCAAATAGGTAAACCGTTTTTTATTGTAAAAAGAAATATTAATAAATTTGCTCACATAGGTTATTAAACAATTCAATAGTAGGTATTTGCTTTACAAATATTTCACGGATATCTCAGCATGAATTTACAAAACTTTATTTTTAATAATGTGATTTCTTTTTTAAAAACACTTTATAACACATAAATTACCTTTAAGTCACTTTCAATTAACCGGAAAAAAATTATTTTTGGGAGAATACATTTTGACAGATCCTTGCAATACTCCATTACAAATTCTAGTTTGACTCAAATTAAACAAATCTTCATACGAAATCATTGAAGAATGCATAGAGCTCCACAGAAATGTTGAGTAGTCTATAAATGTAAAAAATGTGGATAATGGTGTTTCTCGGAAGCATTAAGGACAACACAATTACTTGACAATTGCATACTCAGTTTGATTAAGTCTGTACATGGTGATTTGTAGTAACAAACATTGAACAAGAATATATACATTTCTGAAGGGTTTCATAAATGGATTACACGACTACGCTTGATTGCAGAAGAACATCCTATCACAAAGGTCACTTATTTATAGTCAAGTTTGTTACAGCCGCATTCTTAAATCACTTAAGGCAACCAAAAACATCTAACACCAGCGTCTTCGGAATGAGAACATTGATGATGTCCAATACCATGGTTTCTGCTACAATCAAATATATCGAACTCCTCACCATTGCAACCAAGATACGAAAGCCAAATTTGTCCAGACCCTGCAGGGACTCTATTTTCGACTACACCTCTTGCAAATCCGGCCGACCTACATGCGGTTATAGCATCTTGCTCATCAAAACCATCATCACATACAGTGCCCCAATGATTATTATATCTGACTTCAATACGTCCCTCAACGGCAACGTCCGTAATTATTGCATCACCTAGTCGAATATTTTTATTGTTGCAATGAAAAGTCACTTTCTTCCTTGGCTGTGCACTAATATTATAGCATTTATGGTCATGTACACCTTCAAAATCAGGTTTCTGTGCATAAACTACGTTGAAACAGCTAGCTGCGATCTTGTTCTCTGAATTCGTTTGATGGGTATTCAATGACGAGAGACGATCTGATATCATTGATTGTCCTTTAATCACTTCTTCCAAAACTGATTCAACCTTCTTTATAATTTGACTGTATGCAGCCAATGGTGGTTCTGTTATACCTCCTTGAACTTTTTCGGTACAGGAAGCAAATTTTTGTAAATTGGATATCAAAGTTTCACTCAGTTCAGTGTTCGATTTGGACACCATATTTGCAAGATATATAGAAATATTTTTCATAAACAGTTCTTGTTTTTCAATGAGTGCAATTTCCAACTGATTAAATGTGTTAACCTGCAATGCCAATGAATGCATTTTGAGTTCTTTAAATGCTTGCTGCAATCTTTTGATATCTGACTGGTTGATTTGTGGCTTAGGGTCGTATTGTAATTCTCCGATTGGTCGTTTCGCATTAGGTGTCTTAGTATTCCTAGGAATTGATAAGGTCTCTTGAAGGGAATCAAAATGTTTCTTCATGCTATCAGCTAACGTTTTGATACCTTCAGCATTGTTACGGATCCCTTCTTTCATGATTTGCGCATCCTGAAAAAACATATGCAGAAAGATTTATTTATCTAAGCGCTAAAATGTGTTGAAAAAATAACTTTTAAAAAAACATGTTGTTACCAAATACAACATGAAACACAAACAGAATGACTGAATCATAAAATAAACTGATCGATACAGGGACATTTAGCATCATGAATAACGCACGTTGCAGTACTATGCAGTAAATTATCAAAACACATATGTACACGTTTAAATAAAAAACGAAACCATTTACCATAAAATACCTTAAGATATCTAGTTCTGTAATACATTAATTCGCTTGATAACACACTTGATACAAAACACGCAGATAATGAAAATTGCAGATTCCGTTTGACTGCTTCTTTTTACTGCATAAAACATTCAAATTCAAGAAAATATCAACTATTAATTCATTATTTTAAAAGTAAAAAATCATAATGATGAAAAAGTGTTCATCATTCATAACCAACCTATATTCATATATATCCATTTTACTTTCATAAAGTAAACATTGATCCAATTTTTGAAGAAGACACTTATTTCAAACGTCAATTAAATGCATCAATTTTGAATTTGGGAGACATTTAAAAACATGAGCAAAAACATTCAGTTTTAGTTTGAAATAACTTGTGCAAGAGATGAACCAATCTGTATATCGAGGTCCACATCGACTTCTTTATCCTGAACAGTATTCATTGTTTAAAAAATAGATTTAGAATATCAACTCAAAGATGAATAAAGAGTTTATAGTCACCACAAATCAATCTTTATCTTTCATATTGTCACTGTAATGTTTTCTTGAGAGCAATATAAATAAAATAATGACTGAATCGTTTATCATTAAAAGATGTTTTCCGTTTGTAGAATTACAATATTCTGCTTGGCAGTTGGGGATTCTTGCGAATAACCATCTGAGTCCCCTAGTCGATTTATTGCGAAGGGGGTATAACCATATAATAGAAAAGACATATCTCGTTATAAAACCGTAATATTTGTTTCAGAAAAATACTTTCTGTTTTCAGAGGAATATAATGCAATATCCGAATTACCAACTGTCTTCTAGTAGGTAGTTGGTATTCAAGCAAATAACCAACTGAGTCCCCAGGTCGACATACATGACATATTTAGTACATATCCATATAACAGTACATTTTATTTTGAAGGGAAACATGTTAAGCTTAAATTATGAACTACCTGCTGGTAAATTAGCTGGGGATTCGCGCGAATAATCAATTAGGTTCCAATCTATGATGTGTCCGAACATCGAGATCTAGAAATAGTGAATTGAATAATTACTACCAGCTGTAAAATAGTTGAGAATAACGAATAACCTACCACAAGATAGTAGGTAGTTGGTTATTCGAATATCCAACTAGCTACCAACTTCCTACTAAATTGACGCTAATTATTAAAACGGAACATTTGAAAAAGAGGCTTAAACTAAGTATTAAGCTTGTTATTGTTTTTGTAAAATCTTAAAGATAACGCAAAATACATGTTATGGTAAAACCACAACTTTTATTTCTAAAAATGTGAAGTTGTATGCATCATAAGACAAAGTAATTAAACATAATATATTAGTTTGAAATTTTATTTCATAAGTTATAGCAGGAAAGTTTTTACCTGAAATATCAGTGTCTGCATTGCCTGTAGTCGTTGTTCTAGCTGCTTACGAGACAGTTTGGCACATAGTACAAAAATAAAACATAATTGTAGGATAATTATATGTCTACATTTCATTGTTGAAACACCTTCTAAATCGTTTTACCTGTAAAAAATATGTACACTCATTATTTGCTAGTATTTATAATAATATTTCCTCGGTTTATAAATGTAAATATAAATATAAATGCTGAGCCAAACAAGGTACTAAAAATTGACCATAGCTTGAGACAGCAACTAAAGCTATCAACAGACAGTAGGATTTAGTTGTTCAACTATAATTAAATATAGGATGTACACTTTTCAATGCAATACAACACTTGCATTCAAACCGTAATTCTATATGTAATGAATCATCAGGTTTCCCTACAAAACAATTCAATCCGAATGGTTTATTTAGGAAAGATTTAGGAAATAACTATGTTCTGGGATGAATAAAATAACTAAGCGCCAAAAGACTGTTCTGTATTTTGGTCTCACGATGACAAAATATATTTCCTTCAGGAGTGATGATGAAAATAACTCCATTGTTTTTTTTAAATACCATTTAAGTCAGTTATCACTTTTTGTGTAATTTGAGATTCGAACATCCCTCAATTTGAGAGTTCCCCAAGATTTTGTCAACATCCTTACTCCATCTTTCTAATATGCTTATATTTTAGCCCTAATTGTCCTGCATTTTCATTCATTAAACACATTAAGAGGGGATAATTGGGAAATCTTTCACATGTCATCGTAAGAGGTCTATAAAACAAAAATTAAGAGATAGTCTAAGAACATGTCCTATTCTGTCAATCTAGTATTCAGCTGTAGCATTCACACATCTTAGTTTTAATTGGTGCTGTGCTTCAAAATCCTACTGTCTGTTTTCATTACAAATTCCAAATAATGGAATGTTTGTTGTCAGATGACTACATACATGTATAATATGTAAATAAATATATTACTGTTCAGTATAACACTTACAATTAACTAAACATAGCATAACTATCCAAATGTCCATTTACTGCAAACATTCACATAATAACTTACATTAAAAGATTCCTTCAATGTATAAATCTATCATTGCATAGCCTTGTACAGATGTAAATATAAGAAAATAATACAAAGACGTTTAAGTCGACAAAATTTCATGTCAAGAGCACCACTTGAGAAAAAAGGCAAAACATTTTATATTATGTTATATAATGTTTCCGAGTTTAAATTTCCTACCAACGTTTTATATGTCAATCTACAACTTCATGTATGCCCTTGACAAACTTACAACATTGTTTTGTACCTTTTATTTCATTTTACTAACTAGTTCTGATCATCACGTGTCCTTTGCGGGAGTTAAACGGAACCAGTTATCGCTGTTAACATGTTTATAAATCACAGACGTAAAAAGTCTTTTACAGTATATCATTTCAAAGTCTTGAACAAGGCCTTCAAATAATCAAAGAATGTTCTGAATTATACACTTTTGACATTTTAATTATTTGTCAATTAGTAGGGTTCTTGTTAATTTCACATTTTGACATATTTAACGTAATGAGTTGTTACCTAAATGGTGTAAAGGTATACTTTTTGAACAATTTTTTATAAGATTTATAGTAAAATTATATTTGTTCCTTTATCATATGGTCGATTCTAGAAAGAGTTGTAAAATAGAATGCCATTTAAAAGAACCAAGCACTCGCAGATTTAATTAAACAGAGGATTTAAGACTAAATTAATATTTACCTGAACTGGCACTGACGACATTACATGTGACTGCTATTTTAGTTCTTTAGTTCCACAGGATTCATCATGGTACAGGACAGAAATATTATTAAGGGAAAATGTGTGCAGATTTCATTGTTGTATACATCTATTAATTCGTTGTACAAAAATCTATGACATTCATGGTTTAAGATGTTTAAGCAAACCAGGAAAAAAATTTGTATTTATACTTTTTCTCATCCCTCTTTTAGGCCTTACATTTGTGATGTCGAGTCATGGGCAATAGACATGCTTTTTCTTCTGATTTGCCTGACGACAGGACAGAAGGACTGTAACATGAATCATTCAAAATTTCAAGATTGTGTCCATTTTATATTTATGAATGAATATGCAAATTATGTTTTGATCAACACTTTTTCACATGAACTACAATGCAAAATTAGAAGTTTAATTTACATGTTTAATGAAATAAAAAATACCCGATTTTGTTATAACAATGCAGATAAGGAAACGTGTCATTTAATATAACGTACAATGTATTCATACGCCCTATCAACAAAATAAAACAAAATTAACAAATATGAGGGCAACGTGTCTTTCTCTTCGGATATATAGTACGACATATCATCAGTGAAAACACTCAAGTTGAGCTTTCCTTTCTACTCAAATCAGGATAAATGAATTCCAGAAAATATCTCAATAGCGGATCACCCTTTTGTTTGTCTTGTCGATATTGCCATGTAAATATAAATCATAATAATATTTTCAACAGTAGATTTACATGTACATTATGCATTGCTTCAGTGATGATGTCACTAAATGTTATTTTATATTATAAAAATCGGGTAACTGTTCGCGGCATTAACAAGACTTTGTCAATTTTCAGCTGAACAGTTATCCGAAGGCTTGTCACGGCAGCCGGTGTTTGATTCTTCTTTTTGCAAATAGCATAAAAATTATAAATCGGAAAATAATTGCAAAAAGTAATATTTTTATTTAATACTTTGTTCTTATGGTAGCGTATGAAATTGTAACTTCATTCATAACCATTACGGTAAAATGAGCATACTAAGCACGAAATTCCTTGCATAAAAGACACAAGGGAATGACGCTATTTAAATCATGTGACTTATCTTCCTAAAAGGATGTATAAAAATTTTCTAGCATCGGTGTTAACACTAAACAGTTGAAAAAAACTGTCTGATATGCAAGAAAAGTGTACATATAATATTGTCAACTGATATATCAGTCATTATATGGTAATATTTTGAGAAATATAGATTTAAGTCCAAGAACAAATAAATAAACAAGAAATCAAAAAGCTTAAATACATCAAGTTGCACTATTTTGTGTGCTTACTTGTTTTAAGTAACAGTTATTCACTGTGAAAGTGGACACGAAAGTGGACATGCCACTTTTTGAAAGTTTTATATCAAACCACCTCCATTTGAATAAGGTATTAGGGATCTCATAGGCAGATAAAAAACATATAATTACTTCCAAAAAATATTACAAACTAAACGTACCGAACAAGCACACGAAGAAGATTATTTAGTGCATGTTTTTAAAATGCTTTTGATGGTTTTTGTGGCACAATATTTAAGCGGTCCCATAATAAAACATTGTGTCAATATACATTTTGTTGAACCGCTTACGTTAACCTGAATATTAAACTATATAGAGGACTATTGAAACTTACATAACTTACATGTTTGCAATGTATAAATATACATCATACTTTATTGTTGAAAAAACAAATTATAAATAAAATTTCAATTGAATGACATAAAGTTATATTTTGAATTCATTTTTGTCAATAAATATGTGTCTTATGCATGTGTTATAATGCATTAATTTATAATGAAAATGTTTTAAACATTGTAGATAAGTATTAAAGATTTCTTCAGTGATCTCTATCAATGTTAATACAGCGGATGCATTAATTAATCTCTATTAGCACTGATAAAAATTATTAAAATTTGTCCAGGAAGTTTAATTTGTAGACTTCGTTTTTTATGAACAGTTTAAGATGTGTAAACCAAGTTAACATGAATTGAATAAAAATTGTTGATAGTTTTAATTTACTTAATGGTTTTATTTTTTGTTCATGTGAAATAAAATACATATTTAAGAGGAAAACACAAATGGCCAGTAAATCATAATCAAATGCATTTCATAACTGAAAGTAATTGTTTCACTATCATATTTGCTTTGTAAGGGTATATTTTCGACATTGAGGTTAATTAAAAAGGAAAACTATTTATTCTCAGCAACGATTTATTACTGCTATTCCATGTCACTGGGTCAACTAATCGTCGTTTACCCATCACTGTAGAGCCATTACATTAATTCCAACTATAACGTCATAGAGTTATGCAATACCAACAAGCAAATTCGTTGAATTTATATTCCCCACCGAGTACTGGTTATTACTAACACAACAACTGAAGACATAAGGCTTTATTTATTTATTTATAATGGCATAAACAGTAATATTCTTTGTACTTGATAAATATTCATGGCAATAACAGAGCCATAACTTTGTGTTAAATAGTAATATCTGGACATGTCAATGAGATGTAAATTGCCTTTGTGTATCCATGGTTGCCATAAAGTTATGTTGAAATCAATACATCAGTTGCAAAGAAATAACAATATTGCTCTATATGCATAATACATAAGTAATCAAGGGCAATAATTCTGTAATGAAGGGTCTGGTCTGAACAACTTCAACAAGGCATCAATATGCACATCTCCTCTTGGTATTAATGGTTCCCATAAAGTTTAATTGAATTCCAGCCAGTAGTTGCAGACAAGTCGCGCGGAAACAATTATTACTCTATATGCATACTACATAACTAATGAAGGGCCATGACTATGAGTTAAAGTGTCTGACAGGAACACGGCGATGATATGCGCATCTCCTCTTTGTATTGCAGGTCGCCATAAAGTTCGCTCTATATGCACACTGCATAACTAATCAAGGGCCATAACTCTTAGTTAAAGTGTCTGACTCTGACCAGAACAAGCCAACTATATGCGCATCTCCTCTTGATATTAATTTTTCCCATAAACTTTTGTTGAATTCCAGCCAGTAGTTGCAGAGAAGTAGCGCAGGAACGAATTTCGTTCTATATGCATACTGCATAACTAATCTAGGGTCATCACTCTGAGTTTAAGTGTCTGACCGGAACAAGGCGACGATATGCGCATTCTCTCTAGGTATTGAATGTTCCCATAAAGTTTCATCGAATTCAAGCCAGTAGTTGCAGAGAAGTAGCGTGGAAACGAATATTGTTCTATATCCATACTTCGCAATTAATCAAGGACCAAAACTCTGAGTTAAAGTGTCTGACCGGAACAAGGCGACGATATGCACATCTCCTCTTTGAATTGAAGGTTCTCATAAAAATTAGTTGAATTCCAGCCAGTAGTTACAGAGAAGTAGCACGTAAACAATTATTGCTCTGGTTGCATACTGCAAAACACATCAAGGGCCATAACTCTAAGTTTAAGTGTCTACTGGGACAAGGCGACGATATGCGCATCTCCTTTTGGTATTGAAGGTTCCCATAAAGTTTTGTTGAATTCCAGCCTGTAGTTGCAGAGAAGTAGAGCGGAAACGAATATTGTTCTATATGCATACTGCATAACTAATCAAGGGCCATAACTCTGAGTTAAATTATCTGACCGGAACAAACTGACGATATGCGCATCTCCTCTTGGTATTGAAGGTTCCCATAAAGTTTTGTTGAATTCCAGCCAGTAGTTGAAGAGAAGTAGCGCGGAAATGAATATTGTTCTATATTTATACTGAATAACATATCAAGGGCAATAACTCTGAGTTAAAGTGTCTGACCTGAACAAGGCGATGATATGCGCATCTCCTCTTAGTATTGAAGGTTCCAATTAAGTTTCGTTGAATTCCAGCCAGTAGTAGCAGAGAAATAGCGCGAAAACGATCTGTACCCTATATGCATACTGCATAACAAATCAAGGGCCATAACACTGAGTAGAAGGGTCTGACCGAAACAAGCTGACGATATGATATTGATGATTCCCATAAAGTTTCGTTGAATTCCAGCCAGTAGTTGCAAAGAACAAGTCCGGAAACGAAATTCGGACGGACGGATGGACGGAAGGACGGACGGACAACGCCAAAACAATATCCCGCTCCCGATTTCATCGACGGGGGATAACAATCACCGATAAGGGTGTATATATGTCTAAATAAGTTGATAAGATGATCATATACTATCCGATATTCCAAAACTTAATACAATAATACAGTCATACTAAATTTACAAACAGTTTTCATAATTGTCACAAGAGTGACAAAACGATATTTTTATAAGAGGTTGAATTAAAATTGTTATCTTACACAACAAGCAGTGACAATGCTTACATAATAAATAATTCTCCCGAATAAGCACGTTTTCATGTAAGTATAAAATATACCATCATCGTTGTCATTGTCTTTCAATATTCCCTGGTTGCAAATCTAAGCCAATCATTCGTAAGATAGGACACAGAACCCAAGAATTTAAAAACATTTTAAATTTTCCAGGTTTTCTTAAACGTTGAACCAACCATTCGTGCAGTTTCTCCTTCTTTTCTGACTCCGTTCGTAAGTTATTTACCGTGTCAGTCCAATCAAGCACGTGGAATTGAGTCAACGGTCTAGCGTCTCGTGGACAAGTATCCATTTTAAGTATTAAAACGTTGTCTCTAGATATTTTCGATGCTCCAATAAGAGATAACAAAGTATATTCATATTCCAGCTGCATACATATCTCGTTTTTTAAATATTCGGCAGAAAGAAGTATAACCAGCAATTTACTTTTGGTTATGTTTTCCTCAAATGCTATACGTCTGTGTTGGCCGGGCTTTACATTTTCACAATCACAAACTTTGTACCCTTTGGATTTTATTAGGTAATGTTTAATTGTATCTTCGGCGAAGCTTTTATCATTTGGAAATTCATCACTGTAGGATAGATAAATGTCAAATTCAAACGGCTTAGTTGACAACAAATGCATATTACTTATAAGATTTCTAACTTGTGTATGAAATATATGAAATAATAATTTATCTAGAATGCAATGACAAATCATAAACCACAAACAGTGGACCATTAGAAGACAGAAGAGGACTGAAGATTCCTTTAGTTGCATTATATCGTATTGTTTTAAAATTACATTCCGAAAATGTTTTTTGTGAAAATGAAATGTATCAATGCATTTGTAAAATGTCTTTAAGCTGTAGTTCATACGTTCACACCATATATAATCGTCAAGAAATTCTTGATAAAAAAGATCAGTCAGTAGCGGTTCAAAAGAAATTTTATGATGCATGGGAATTTCATTCAGCCAGTACAAAAATATATCATTTTTGTTCCTGTATATGATAGGACAGGCGCAAAATGACATGTGCAGTTTTATTACAAGCCATTGCTCCGTAATATCACTTAATTGCATTGACTGACCTGTTTTGAATATTGAATTTGCCAAAGCACCGCATTGGCATTTTTCAATCCGTTGCCAAAAGGAATCACTTAGAAATTCATAGAAGCCATCTTTATTTTCCATAACTACGGTTATATTATCCAGTTTTATAAATTCTCCTAAAGAAGCATGGATGATTAAATTACTATCCTGTTCAAAGAGATGAGTACATGCTATGGCTCTTATCGATATAATCTCACTTTGTACGAGATGTTTGTACGGCCTGTAAAAAGGCGTATTTTCACAATTTCTTAGATTGATACGCCTTTGTTTTACAAGTGTATATGTTCCAAAGTCATAAGTATTCACTTTTCTTATAATCAAATAAAAATCTGGTGGTTTTTTCACTTGAACATATTTAAATTCACTGATTTTAGAAACGGGTATATCGTTAAAAGTCCAAACATACAAACTACTCCTATCCCAATTGATATCCTTAACGGATAATAATACATGTTCGTTTAATATGGCTTTCTTCATGTCACATATTCTTAAATAGCTTTCTTCTGTTTTGTAAGATATTGCTGTTGTGCAGGTGTTTTGGATGCACTTTTCAAATCTATAAAGCAATGGATGGGAATAGTTGTTCATGCTAGTGGATCTATAATCAAACAAACTTTCATTTGAAAAATCTATCGTCTGTTGCCAACCGTATTCTCTGAACATAACGGAAATCTGTTGGTTCATTTTGATTATTCCTATTGGAAACATCAACATAGAACATATTTTCAGTACAAAAATTAGAAAATAACAGCAGACTTTCCTTCTGCCATACTTTTTCAAAAATCTTTGCCGTAGAACAATATACGATTGTAAACTCAAATATGCCTCCTTAATAGCATGTTCTAATTGCTTACAGACAGGTAATACAAAGCTCAAGTGACAATATTGGTGGAAAACAGTGAATATAAACGCAATTAAACTATAATAGCCAAACATGTACTTGCTTGTAAGATAAGCTATGATGGTGCATATATCATGATAATTGTTAAAAATATGGCTTTGATTTGATCCATTAATGAAAGGATAAGCACAACTGTCTCCAAAACATTCAACGCAGCTGAGAATTATATATAAGGAAATGGATGTTAAATTAGGACCCTCGTAACCAAAGCACAAAGGCCAGTATACTGCTATTAGTACGATGTAAACTATTTGTCTAAATATATCAATCCAGCTCGTTGTATTAAACGTTCCATAATACGGCATTTCATGTACTTTAAATGATATGATGAACAGACATACAATTATATCCGAATTAAGGTCTAAAACAATATGAAACAATACAACAAAGTGGCAAACAAACTTTCCAAATTCTAGTATACATTTCCCTGCTAAATTCTTCAATTGCAGCCCAACTGCGAAGTGTAATATACTCTGAAATATAACAGAAATTTATTTAGCGTTGAAATTACGTTGAAAAGTATGCCATCAATTTTCTTAAACAGTTATTATTATTATTTTGTTCAAAGGTACAATATTTAAAAAAAGAAACTCACACAAAACCTGTCATAGGAAAAATAGATGTTCGTATTCTTATTTTACTTGAAGGAAAGCATGTCTCAAATATTTTGTAGAAATATGTCAATGATTTTATTCTTGAAATACATGTAGATTTTAAGAAAAGAGTTTACACCGAATTTTTCAACAATCTGATTTGGTTTAGTAGTTTAAACACCAAGTTATGTTTCCAGCAATGTAGTATTAAATAGGAATACAGTTTCAATTTTATTCTTGAAATACATGTAGATTTTAAGAAAAGATTTATCACCGAATTTTTCAACAATCTGGTTGGTTTAGTAGTTTAAACACCAGGTTATGTTTCCAGCAATGTAGTATTAAATAGGAATACAGTTTCAGACAAACGTATTTTATAGTAAAATATATTTACCAGAAAGTGATGCATCCTTATCTTATAGCGTTGTCAGGTAAAAATCAATGCTTCATTACACAACACAACATCAGGTGTCAAGTTTTGTGTGACAGCCGTAAAAAGTTGACTCGTATTTCAATTCAGTGTTGTTATATTTTTTGGTCCTTTGGGATCATAAAATCCAGCATTTTTAAGTGTTGAGAATTGAGTACCGCTAAAGCCGGTGCTAGGGTGCGTGAGGGATGTTGCACTTGTTATTTTGCTGTTTTAATTCTTCCGAGGGATCACTCTTTTCCCAGATATTTCAACACATTTTATGACCTAAAATTAAAAGTTTAATGAACAATGATATTTTACTACTACAGAAAATCACATTCCAAACTTTCGAATGTTTCATTTCGGACAGTCGTTAAGAAAGTTGGTAAAAATTTTATTTTATATTTTCATTACATTTGTAGACATAGCTAAAATGGTCTTTAAACATGTTCTAATGTGTTAGTCACTTCATTCGTTTATTTGTCGTCGAATTTCTGTTTTGTCTTAGATTTAACATTTTACAAATGACGACTCTTCTGTGTATTAACCAAGTATGATATCATGACCGACATTTTATTTGTGTTTCAATAGTTTACTTGAATGATATTAATTGTTTTAAATCCCTAAAAAATGTCAACGAAAAAATCGAATCGTCGTACATGATGTAAAACAGAATACATGAACATGTGTATATTGAATATGAAATGTAAAATGTAGATCTGCTACTCGACACCCGTGAACCTTGTAATGTAAATAAAAAAGTAGATTGTTTAATTGAAATGTTTAGGTTACGAATTAAGTTTTACATCTGTGGGATAATTTTTGCAACATAAAGCGTGACTCTACTTTGCTAACATTTTATTTTAATAATTTATCAAGCGACTTTACTTGTTTTAATTTATTGAAATTAATTTTTAATTTCACTCATAAAAACGGTTTCACATTTTATGTTATAAACAACCAATATCATATAAGTGAATTAGTAAAAAGAATGAAAAAAAAATCAGTTGCCGAGCACTGACAGATCTTGTAGCATACATCTGGTCTAGCGAATCTGTTGGACCATACATTCAGGTAAACCACAACAAAACTTTTCAAGGATGCTAGAAATATGTCAAATGCAAGTATAATATTTCCTTTATACCATTCCTTCCCTTACATAAGAGTATGACTATACCTCAAACTGTTTTAATATAAAACAACAACTAGTTGCAATACAAATTCTGTATTTGAGTAAGCGTCTAGACAGTCAGATGACACTCGCTGCTCCTGAACGTAGTGAATGCAAACAATAATTACTAACATTATCAACATGAGGTTTTAACACTTCAATAAAAATATCTCGTAGATTAGAATACGACATTGGCTTATTTATTTTCCTTCTTCTGTATCCAGTTTTTGTTGCACTTATATTACAGAATAGAAAATAATCATCCAGAAATTCTCCCCACAATATTAATTTCTGAACATTTGCAACTGGGCATAACTTTGTACCCGTTTTTGCGATCAATACCCAAGCCCCATCTCTGTATTTATCTGTCTTGCTACTTTCAATGAAAACAGACATATAAGTAGAATTAAACACTATGTCTCTAACACGAATTTTTAAAAGTTCAGAACTTCTTAAAAAACCTGCGTATGCAATCAAAATAGCGCAGATAATTCGTTGACTTTTTATATTATACTCTACATACAATCTGTCATAAATACTATTAATAATTTCTACATTAATAGGTTCTTTCCTTTTAACTGGCTTTGACAGAAGTCGTTTACTAGCTTCAAGAACATTTAAAACCAATTTTGATTCTGTAGGCGAAATTAATCCATACATATCGTGAAACCATTTAATAGAATAAAAAGCTGAAACGATGGGGCTTGGCGAATTTACAGTCTGAACAAGAGATGCTAGATAAATTGCAACTGTCAGTATTTTAGCAGGCAAAGTATCCCTACTCCCCAACCCATTACACAGAGCCCATTTTTGAAAACGTAAAAATGCACCAGTATACTTTTTGTCCGTTCCTCGTGCTCTTGAATTACGCAACAGGTCCGGGAGCAAGTCCACTTTTCCCGCCAAAACATCCGGCAGTTCTTCAATATCTTCAGCGTATATCTGCAGAAATAAATGTAAAAAAGAAAAATGACAATAATATAAATCAGCGCAAACTCAAATTTATGCATTGTTATTATTATCTCTTGTTATTGTTGTAATTTTATATAACAAAAAATGCTATACAGCATTATGTTCTTGTAACAAGCAATACAAAAGGCGATCCCGCCGTATAAAGCAATACTGCTATGTGCGATACCGCAATTTTTCTTTTGCAAGGGAGACCATCCGGTTATTACTTAATAGAAATACAAACTTAATTATTTCCCTTATACTGCTATGTGCGATACCGCAATTTTTCTTTTGCAAGGGAGACCATCCGGTTATTACTTAATAGAAATACAAACTTAATTATTTCCCTTGAGTAAACTGTAATTTTAAAGCTAACATTCTAAATTTTAAATCGGTATTTCCAAAGATACCTTTTCCATTTTTACACTTAATATAAAAATGTCTTTCCGTAGGTAAATCAAACCAATCTACAACTTCTTTTATGAAACACCCATTCGGGCATATAAACGGCCAAAATAAGGCGGACTTCCAACAAGGAATAACTAATACTCCATGTGCATGATCACAAGCCAATTTCATAATTACTCTATGAATAACAGATATAGGAGGTACAAATAACCCAAACTGCCCTTCCCAGCTTTCCGAAAAAGCGTCGATCCCAAAACAATCTGGGTTCCAAAATCTTGAATAAAACTTAGTCAGTTTAGCATTGTAATATGACGCAAACCAATCAACATCTAATTGACCGAAACGATCAGTTATCATTTGTAATATATCAAACGAAATTCCCCAGTCATCAAAATCAGACAACCTCGATAAAAAATCTGCCTTTTCATTTTGTGTTCTGGGGACCCACTCTACTTCTAAGGAAATAGCATTCTTCATGCAATACTGAAAAATTGCATAAGCAATTTCTTGCAGTTCTTGCTTCATAGAACCCTTTAAAACAATAGCCTTAACCCCTTGATTATCAGTAAACCACTTAACACATTGACTTTTAAGGAAATGTCCTAGAGCCAACAATACTCTGTAGACAGCAACCAATTCCCTCCAAGTGGAAGATTTGGTGCGTTCTGTTTCTGACCAGACGCCATGGGATACCCCCATTTAAGGTATTAACCTAATACCCAGCGTAAACTGTGTCACTTGCATCAGAATACACTACTTTAGTACAGATATGAGATCGTTCAAGATCTTTCTTGTCTATACACGACAAGTAACCTTTCCAGAATAAAAGCTGTTCATAACTTTCTGCACTGAGTGAAATGCGCTCATCCCAATACCGTGCATTTAATACATCTAAAGTTAAATATCTAGTCATAATTTGAGATATATGGCCAATGACTGTCGCCATAGAAATAAACTGACCAACTGCACTAGCAACTTTTCTTACTTGAACTTAAACCTTCTTGTTAATGAGGCCAATCAAAAAATCAATAGTTTCTTGTGCTTTTAACAATCTACGATCGGGAATGGAAATAGTACCATTGATTGTATTCAAATCACACACAAGATACTCTAATATCTGTACAGGTTCCCATATACATTTGGTAGCATTAGGTACGAAACCCGAATTAAGTAAATCTGTTTTTATAATATGACTTAACCTCACAGTATTATCAAATGAATACGCGCACCCTAATCCATCATCTAAAAACATTGTAACAAGCAATCCTTCTCCACGCCACTTATTTATCAGAGGCCTACACAATTTCGTGAACAAATAACAGGCAGACGATAAACCAAAAGGAAGTACTAAAAACTTATAATATATGACATTGTCATCTTGGTCTTTCCAACTAAAACCCAAATACTCTGTATGCGGTTCAAATATTTGAACAAAATGATATGCACTTGTTAAATCAAATTTTATCATAAAACACCCTTTTTTAATTAAGGAAAGAGCAATTTTTATATCTTCATATTTAACACTTTGCTTCCACAGGTGCTTGTTAACCTCTCTCAGGTCAAGTATAAGACGTTTTTTACCTGAATTTTGAACTGATACGGTAAGAGGGTTAACTACATAGGGAATTTTCGAACATTTTTTTTATCAAATGTCTATCAAGTAAATCATTTATCGCCTCAGAGACAAAATCTTGCTCTAATAATGCTGATTTATTATTTTTGCAAATAACATTAACTGGTTGAGAATACAATGGAATCTTATATCCTTTGTCAATAATATCTAATATGAAATCATTACAACCAATTTTCTTCCAAAAATCAATATGACTTTTTAATCTGCCCTTAACAATAATATTCTTTTGACCTTGTTCATATTCATGATATTTATGTGTAAACCGTGAACAATCATACTCATCTTTCATAGAAATGTCTGTATCTTGACAACTACTTCCTTGCTGTGGCTTGTCCGAAACCGGAAGTTGCTGATGACTGCGCTCGTGGACAATCTCTTCGGAAGTGGGTGTTCTCTCCGCAATGAAAACATGGCCCTGGGGTGACAGGGCCGCCGTGGAAGCCGCTTCCGGTACCATAAGCGAAGTTGGAGCCGTATCCGTATGGCAAGACTGGAGCAAATGAGGGACGAAAATTACGTCCCCGGCCCGACATCCCGCTTTGTACTGAAGAATATGGCTGCTGAAAACTAGGACCAACAGGACGCACAATGTCACGTGCGCCACGCCCTTTAGTGGAAGAACGTTTACGTTTAAGTGCACGATTTTCCGCTTTATTGATCTTGGCTTCATCGTCGCTATCGCTAGCTACAGGATTGCACTTATACTGACGCACCGTATCCCACCCAGCAGGGGAACTATCTGCTATCCTTATGTCTTTATTTCTAACGTGCAACTTCTCAGCCAACTCTTTCAGCTGGTCACCACAATATTCAAATTTGCCGTGTTCAATAGCCCACGAGGCCTGCTTAACAATGTCCGCAAGTTCACTGTTGAAACAATACTGCTGCTTATTACCTTCGAACTTCCACTTTATCTCCTGTTCAGCTTTTAAATGTTTTACTTCTGAAGAAACAGAAACGTTGTTATTGTGTACTTCTTTCTTCAAACTGGAAAGCTCCGACAATATCACATTTAATTGTTCATGTATACCTGTATTATTCATACTGGAACTGTTAGTTTCATCGCCCGAAGCCATAACACGTTGTAAACAAAACCGGTTTTAAAATAAGTGTACAGGTCAGTCTGACTGTCCAAAGCTGAATAATTTATCAAGCGACTTTACTTGTTTTAATTTATTGAAATTAATTTTTAATTTCACTCATAAAAACGGTTTCACATTTTATGTTATAAACAACCAATATCATATAAGTGAATTAGTAAAAAGAATGAAAAAAAATCAGTTGCCGAGCACTGACAGATCTTGTAGCATACATCTGGTCTAGCGAATCTGTTGGACCATACATTCAGGTAAACCACAACAAAACTTTTCAAGGATGCTAGAAATATGTCAAATGCAAGTATAATATTTCTCACTACATGTCTTCTTCTTGGAAAGGAAAGGAAATACTTACTGTATACTTATAAGTTATCGAATCATTGACTAGGCATATTGATTTTGTCCGAAAAGTCATGATGATAGAGAATAGAATCAACTACATAGAGTTCAAACTATTCTTGAAAACCTAAACATAGTGAATATACTAACGTTACAAAAGAAGGTACGCGATAGTGAAACATTCGTCATTTTACTATAGTTATTGGTATGTTATCATGATATGCTACCTATGATGATGTCATTTAAAAGGCAGATATAGTCATGTAGTAGTGATATTTAAATAAGGGAGATAAATCTCTGGCGCATGCACTCTATGGTAATATGTACTGCGGAGTAACCCTTCTAGTAAAATCTAGTAATTGTATAAACAATGGCCAAACGATGCTTGTTTTATGGTCTTTTAATCTTTGTTTTATATGTATTTAAGACCAAAACAATGTTGTGTTAAAAATATTTAGATAATTTTGATTTAAAAGCATTATTTAGAAGATTCCTAATTTTAAAGCGGTTCTGTAATTAAGCTTTTAAAACAGTACTTTTATGCATTAATTTGCAAATAGGTATTCATTCTACTAAGTACTCAGGACGAGAGTAAACTGTGTTAACTTACGACATGTTAAATGAGTACTTCGATAACTTTTTTAAAATATGTAGAATAGTTTTGATTATGTCAAGCCGAAACTGTTAATAAAGTTATATAGTCAAAGAGTAATTATTGAATAGTCAATTGATGTTTACATTCAGTATGCATTATCTTTGAAATTTAGCATTCCTTAAGGTTTATGATGAAACATTTACCCCATGGTAAGTTTGTTATATTTAATTTAACAGAGTGTAATTTCAGTACATTTCGCAAACGTAGGTAGGCGCCATTTCAATTGCCGGTAGTGTATTTGCTATAGAGATAATTGCGATACAAACAAACATTAGTCGATTCAATAAAAGCAAACAAATACATAAGAAACGTGATAATAAGAGAGAGAGCACAGAGCAATATCTTACCTGAAATTGTCAAAACCATTTTCGTTGCTCCAATATATTTATTTCTATTATCTAAAACTCCGAAAAGATGAAAACACAGGTTTAAAAATCTATTTTTGTGTTATGCTACAAGCTACCGTATGCCAGTATACTGCTCAACATAAACTACGATGTAACACTGGTAACATGACAGCCGTGTGTAAAATAATTATTTACTGCTTGCAAGCATAGTAAAACAAAACATAAATGATAAAACATCGGACAGAAAAAAAAAATATATAAAATACCCGCAGATGTAACTAGTAGGGTTGATGCGTAGGTGATTACAATAACTGGGTACCTTAAAGAACATTAATAAATGTATTCGTAAAAACATTGTTATGAGACTTTAAAAAATAATTCGTTGTATTTACAAGTATAACTAAGTTCCATATTGAGAGGCAAACATGATATTAAACTTTCCAAAATTTTGAATTTATACATTATTTTAAGCTTTTGAAAGAGAAATGCTGATTTTCGGATATAGGTTGTTTCTTTTCACCGTATCTTCGTGTAAGTTTTCGGGCATTATCAGCATCTCTTACCTGGTGTTTGTTGGACTTGATATCTGTGTGATGCTTCACTTAAAATCAATAATTTACAATTTTTTTTTACATCTTTATGTGTTAAACCAATTACTTATTTCGTAACACTCATTGTATCTTTATTTTTTTTCATTCTTTATTCTGTTAATGTCCTCAAAATAAATACAGCAGGTAGTCACAGGAACAAAACTTTTCTCCTTATAAGAAATAAACTGGTGGTTTCCGATTTTTTAGAGCGTTTCGATTACACAATAGGTGTCACAGTGTTCTCTGGAAACGTAAAAGAATATCTGAAATGAATGACCTAGACTTCTTGTTTCGATCATACAATATAAACAATATCTGTAATTGTATATTGCAGGGTTTGTTCAAATCACATGATTTCTTTTAAACATACCTAGTAATTTTGACGGCGTATAAATTTCGTTCAATATAATATAGATGTATTTCCGCTACAAACCAAAAATATATAGAATGTATAAAGAAATTCATTCATACTGGGACTTATCGTGTACAAAATATCATTATAATATTTTTGACATTAATTTGCCAAAATATCTCTTTAAAGCGCCTAACAACATAAATAATAAATAATAATTGCTCTGACACATACGCACGCACGCACGCGCGCACGTACACACGTCACACACAAAATGAAACGGATGCCAAACACCCATATATAAAAAGAAAACAAAGTTTAACGCGACGTATGCGCAATTAGAAAGAAAATCTAAATTGGCTTTGTCATCTTTAAGTGTTGGGTACTTAACCACGGATGGTTATATATTTCAAAGAAACTTTGTTGAGGTTCAGGAGAATGGAAATGGACCATCATGAGAAAATATTTTATCGATGGCACACTGTCGGTAACAATATTTAATGAACACGTATTAACTTCCGGTACATCGTTTTGAACAACAGCAACAATTTTCAAGCATTAAACACCGCGAGTATTAACAAACATATACTGATTAATGTGCTATTATTTTGAATAGGATAAGATAATATAGAATAACACACATTTAGATTTAAACTATTTACTGAGTTTGGGATGTTGCACTTATTCATTATCCCTTATGTACAGACTCGATCAAACCGTGTATGCAATTTACACGTAATTTTGTTGTGATTAAAGCTTCCGAGGGATCACTTTGTTTCCAGATTTTTAGATTTCTTTTGGCAGTATTTTGTCCAATGGCTGAATAAAACATTTAATACAATGTATTCCGGATAATCCTAAATAATATACATTTACTATAAGATTTCAAAATGTCTAAAGCCCATAAGGCTGATTACATTCCGAGCAGTCGAAAGAGTATTTCTTTTATCAAAAATCGTGACTTAAGCTCGGAAGTAAAGTATGTTTCATAAGATATAATCAATGAAAATTATATTTTGAAAAAGAGACAAAATGCAGATCAGTTAACATATCTTTTAATTTAATAACTGATTGATACATAAACATCTGGCAACAAAGTGATTCCCCGAAGCATTAAAAACAGAAAAAATACATGAAAATTGCAGACTCATGTATGTGATAGATAATGAAAAGTGCAACATCCCTCATGGCACCCTAGCACCGGATTGAACGGTTCTCAAATATCATTCATCACATGGTTGAATTCTCTCCGGACAATCAGAAGAGAAATCAACTAACAGGAACTTATTGACATTACTGAATAACAATTACTATAAGCACTTGTCTCTGAAACAAAGTAAACAGTCACAAATGTGAATCCAGCGAAGATGTCTTGTTTCCATGATGCAATTTGTTCTTAGATACAGCTGAAAATAAAAATTAAGAAAGCACAACAGAAGCAGAAAATCATTTCAGGAGGGAAAGGGAGTGTTTTAAGCGTTTATTTTGTAATGTACGAGTACATTACGATGTAGACTTGACACACGTGGCTTCTAAGGGAGAAAACGAGGAGAACTTATGACATTACAAGATGACATGATTATCTCTCATCTAATATAAAAACATGAATACATTTTAATGTCAATGTTAAACAAAAATACTTTATACGTTAATGTGCAACATAAATATTGTGACGATAAATTGCCCACTTATCATATGAATATGTTACATGTTGATAAGCTGATTTTGGTTCAGCCCTTACTTTGTTCAATGAGCCAATGTCGGATGTAAAAAATAAGATCATCTTTAAAGTTATTAACGTACTCACATATTTGGGATGATAGATTTAAGTGTTTTAGGCCTAAACAGAAAATATTAAATTTCTTTGTTTTAACAAAATAATATTTATATTCAGTCGCATATAGTATTGGTAATAAAAGAGTTGTTTTGAAGCCTTTGTTATATGTAGTTCAAGGTTGCAGAAATTCCACTTGCTAGAAAATTGAAATAATCGAAGACTCTAATGACGTCAATATGTTCACATAAACTTCGTTGTTTTAAATTATTTATTTTGAAACGAGCATTTTATATCTATGTTGGAAAGAGCTTTTTTTACTATTTGAAAAACGTATTGTGTGACAAAATATAATTGAGTCGAACAATGATTTAAATAAACTGCTTTCAATTTATTTTTATTATAATTATTTCAATAATTATCGTGGCAAGTAATGATGATGACTATCATAATGAAGATGATGAAGATGATAATGATGATGATAATTATGATGAATATGACGCAGATAATTAAAACATCAATTCATCTACACACATATAACATCATGAATACACTACCGTTTCTTCGAACGATACATGGAGTGAAACATTCCACCGGTGCGGTGCACAAGTAAGTAAACTTCATCTCTAAAATTTACTCACTATCAAAGTAACTTTCAAAATGAAAAGACACGAGGACAAATCTCTGAAGTAAAACATAAACTTAAAAAAATGCAAAGACATATCAATAAAAGTAGAGATTTTCAATGACAGAAACATGTACATGCTTGAAAAAAGGTTAGAAAATACGTATACATACTTGATCAAACTTAAAAATGTCTAAGAAACTCAAAACATTTTTAGCCTTAACTTTTCTCAAGTAGTGCTATTAACTTGACCCGTCGACTCGAAAATTTTTTTGTATGTATTACTTTGATATTGTGATAACCACTGTTAGATCAAGTCCAGATTCGCTTTACTATAACTAGAAGGTAAAACATAAGTTTATATTTCATCGTTATTTATATTTTCACTAATTTTATTTTTTGTTACATTTATAATATTTTTGAAACTCTCGTGTATTTTAGATCTGAACTCTAAATCCGAAAAGGAGCCATTAATACTTAATGATAAATATAATGATATTTTTAAAAGATTTTAATAGTTTAATGCCAGATCTTTAGAAGATATTAAATCATTACTTGATTATATAATAAAGTATCTTCTTCATTTTGGCAAAATCTTTATTAACTCTGTAGAAATATAGGCAACGTAAGACGTAAAATATATATGTATATTATTCATTCTCAAAATGGCTCGATTATTTAGCCAATTTGAGAATAAATTATACCACATATTATGAGATTTAAATATTTTTACAGTTGAAAAAAGGCATATCCAACTATGAAATGTGCACACATAGTAATCCTGCAGCTTTGCTTTATTGCTGCACCATGTGCAAAACTGTCTCATAAGCAGCTAGAGCAACGTCTACAGGCAATGCAGACACTAATATTTCAGGTAAATATGTAATCTCCTACGCAGTGATCTCCCCTTACAGGATTAGATACTGACCGTAGCGTAACCAGTGCGCGGAGTTTGGTAAATATGTACCTGGTATAACTTAGTAAATTTGATACTTAAATATTCATGTCAAGAGAAGCATTTAATAAATTTCTGTTATTTTATGTTCGAATCACAAACAAGAGAAAATGGAAGAAAAACAAGAAAATAAAGAAAGACATAGAAAGGGGTAAGAACACTGTAATAAATCTTTCTAATAAACAGCTTCGAATCACAAACAAGAGAAAATGGAAGAAAAACAAGAAAATAAAGAAAGACATAGAAAGGGGTAAGAATACTGTAATAAATCTTTCTAATAAACAGCTTCGAATCACAAACAAGAGCAAATGGAAGAAAAACAAGAAAATAAAGAAAGACATAGAAAGGGGTAAGGACACTGTAATAAATCTTTCTAATAAACAGCTCAATAACACTGAATCTTGTTACTTGTTAAAGGTTTAAAATTTTGCCCAACACCAAAACCTCATAATAAACTTCAACTTAAACAAGATGTTTTTGAATTTACAAGAAATCCTGATTGAATGAATATTTTGCAGCAAAACAGGAAAATAGTGAGGAAAATGAAAACAATACCACCAATAATTATGACAATAACAGTAAGAGGAGAAACAAATCTACTTTTATTCCCCCTTCTAGTAGAGATTCCAATCTTGATTTTTATATTGAAGCGATAACAAATGAAATTCTGTCAAACAGCAAACACAATAGATATAAAACAAATTTATCACCAGAAGAGTTGAGGGCCTTGCAAACCTTACAAAAAGACAAAAATATCATTACAAAAAAAGCTGATAAACGTTCTGTAATTGTTGTTATGAACCGTACTGAATACATGAGTTAAATTTACAGACAGCTTGAAAACTTGAAAATAATCCAACTGAACAATTTAAAAAAGAAATCTATGAGGAAATTTATCAAATGGACAATATAAGTTACTCTATTAAAGAATCTTTGGTTCCTGATAGTAGCAATAGAGTTCCAGCTTTTTATATTCTACCTAAAATCCATAAACAATTCAATTCTGATCTACCACTCGGTTACCCTGGAAGACCAATAGTATCTGGATGCGGTTCATTAACTGAAAAGATATCATCGTATGTCGATAATATACTCAAACCACACATGGAATCATTACCCTCATATGTCAAGGATACTACAGATTTTATCAGAAAAATACAAAATATAACAAATATTTCAACAGAATCATTCTTAGTTACAATGGATGTATCATCTTTATACAGTAATATACCTCATAATGATGGAATCAAAGCATGTCAGTACTACCTTAACCAGAGAACAGGACAACAACATTCAGTTAAAGATATTTTACATCTTATCGAAATAGTGCTTACAAAAAACAACTTCCAGTTTGGTGATGATAACTATATACAAAATTTAGGAACAGCTATGGGAACTAAAATGGCACCATCTTATGCTTCATTATTTATGGGAAAATTTGAAATGGACTTTTTAAATACATGTGAAAGAAAACCCTCAATATGGCTGCGATTTCTTGATGATGTTTTTTTCATTTGGGACCACAGTGAAGAGGAGCTTATTACATTTTTTAATGAAATTAACAAGTATCACAACACTATTAAATTTACTTATAACTACTCAAAAACAAATGCAACATTTTTAGACGTAAATTTGGAAAAGAAAGATAACTGTGAAATTGAAACTAGTGTCCATGAAAAAATAATCAATGCCCATCAATATATTGAATTTCCTTCATGCCATCCTTTGTCATGTAAAAAAGGTATTCCATTTAGCCTGGCTAAATTACATCAAATAACAACATATATGAAAAAGACTGTGACAAACTACGAGGTTATTTCCGTGCCAGAAACTATCCAGAAAATATCATTACAGACACAATTACCAGAGCATCAACTTTATCGAGGGAGGATACATTAAAATTAAAAGACAAATCAGAAGAACGTGAAAATATTATCCCCTTTGTGTGTACATATAATCCATCTTTACCTAATATAGGTAAAATAATTAACCAATATTGGAACCTATTGAAATTTTCTCCAAATGAAAGTGTACGTAAATTATACAAATACAAACCAATTGTTGCTTATAAGAGACCGAGAAATTTACAAGACAATTTAGTTCATACTCATTTAAATGCCAAACCCATGGTTGGTTCAGTATCTAAATGCTGTCGACCTCGTTGTACTCATTGTAATAATATTGTTGAAACTGATAATTTTTCAAGTACTACTATACCTAAAGAATTTGCTACAAAACGTGATTTTTCATGTATATCTTCAGATGTCATTTATCTTATAACTTGTAAAAAATGTAAAAAACAGTATGTTGGTCAAACTCAGCAAAAATGTAGTCTAAGAATGAATAGCCACAAATTTGATATTAAACACTTTCCTGACACTATTACCAATGTATCTGAACATTTTAATTCTGAAGGGCATTCTATCAAGGATTTTTCATTTATGCCAATTGATAAAGTAAAGAATAATTGGCAAAGATTATTAAAAGAATCTTCATGGATGTATAAGCTAGGTACAATTATTCCTGATGGCATGAATTCCAAAATACTTTATTAACTTTGAGGATTATAATTCTTCATTTTAATATATTTTTTTTATAAAAAATTGTATTTCTATTTTTTGCTTAATATGACTTAAAACTAATTTCATGTCATTATGTAGTTTATGCTGGTTTTCTTATTTTACATTGCTTTTTACTGCATCTCCACCAGTGTTTTGTATCTTTTATAAAGATCCTACATATAACATTTATACGCCAAATTATGTATTACATTTTGACGTCGTTGTCCTTGACGTCATATGACGTTGACGTCATTTCCTGTAAACAAAGTATACCTGATGAAGACTTTTGAGTCGAAACGTTGTATATTTTTCAAATAAAATAATTACATTTTTAAATTGAAACTGGAGTTGATTTCTATATTCAAACTTACTTTATGTTATTTAACAAAAAATACATACCTTGTAAGAATACATAAAATACATACCTTGTAAGAATACATAAAATACATACCTTGTAAGAATTTATTTAATGGTTGTAATGACCTTAATACAAAGACCTTTTTATATCGTCTCATTACTTTAAGCCCTTACATGTTATATGAATATTTGGATAAAAACATTGATATATACATCTTTTGCAATTATAGCTCTATTGACAATCGTTATAACTTTAGGGCATTTGTATTTCATAGGGAATCAAAATTGCATTTTGCATGTGTGACATTTCTAAAGAATGAAAAAAAAAATGATTTTGAGGATAAATGTGTCTTCAAATTTGCCGTGTTGGGCTTTCTTTAGGGATTCTGTATTTATCTATTTTAAACAATTCGTTTGAATGAAATGAGCATTGCTGTGTGGCGTTTGTTTGTTTTCGTTATTCTGTAAAGATCTACAAATGTTCTTCTTTAGTTTATTTTCATATTTACAATAATTGAACTTCTACGTTGCATTCATTTTTATATTAAACAAATGTATTTAAGCTCAAATGCGAAACACGTTTTTGCAACATATAAAAATCACGTTCGAGAACTAACAAGTACTGATATCATATGAAAAAAATATGGTCGGGACCCAAGACGGGCTCGAACCCATGATCCCTGGGTTGAGAGGCAGATATTTAACTCCTAGGTCACCACTTACTTCCCGCCAGTAAGAAGAAGCACACAAGCCGAATCATTTCATTTAGTAGACTTTGCAATATTAATGCTGTCAAAAGTTCTGTTCTTGAGAGCATGAGTCTTTAAAGAATAGTTTGAGTGCTCTGTAAAAGTTGCCAATCGTTGAAAATATACCCCTTACTTAACATTTTCATACTAGAACAACTGAAGACTATCATTTTGATAAATATAGATATGAGCTTTAATTCGAAGAAACCGTCAAGTTAATAATTTTTCTTTTTTACTGTTTTGCTTTAGAATTGGGGAATTTTCATAACACGTTGATGTTTTTGGGTGTTAAATTGTAAACTGTATAACTTGGAATTTTTTTTCAGGATACGCAAATAATGAAAGAAGGGATAAACAAAAATGCCGAAGGTATAAAAGAATTAGTTGAAGGCATACAGAAAAATGAAGGAATAATAAATAATATTGAATCAAAAATAAACGGGCATTCTGATTTGCTTCACGAAACCCTATCAATTCTAAAGAATACTAATGTACCGACTACGAAATAGAAAGATGTGAATATCTCGGATCTACATAAGGACCCAAAGACACATATCACTCAGTCAGATATCAAAAGATTGCAGAATGCATTTAAAGAGCTGAAAATGCATTCATTGTTTTTGCAAGTTAACACCTTTAATAAGTTGGAATCATTTATTGAAAAGCAAAACTTATTCATGAACAATATATCTTTGTATTTCGAAAAGTGTGGGTCCAAAACAAAATCTTGTATTTGTGAAAATTTGGAAACGCTCATAGACACATTGAATCCCCGTGCAAAAGGTTATGATGAAAGTGAAAATAAAACAACGTCAGCCGAGTATAGTGAAATTCTAATGAAGGCTAAAACAATATTGAAAGAAGTTATCAAGGGTCATTCCATGAAAACAGATAGTTTGTCAGCTATAACATCTCGCCAAACGGATTCGGAGGATACAATTCCAGCAAGCTGTTTCAAAGTTGTTTATGAAAAAGAACTTGATGTAGCAAATGATCATGGAAATAATAGTTGTTTCAATATCAATGCACAACCAGGCAAAAAGGTAACCTTCCATTGTGGCAATAAGAATATTCGTATTGCAGACGCAGTAGTTACGGAAATTGCGGTCGAAGGACGCGTTGAAGTCAGATATAACAACCACTGGGGCACAGTATGCTCGGCTTATAATTACTTTGGCGAGAAAAACGCCAATGTAGCATGCAGAGCAGCTGGATTTACAAGGGGCGTTGGAGGATATAATGTCCCAACAGGATCGGGTCCAATTTGGCTTTCGCGTCTTTATTGCAATGGTCAAGAACTTGATTTATTTGATTGTGATAGACAATATGGTATTAGCGGATATAATTGTGATCATTCCCAGGACGCATTAAGCACATGAATACACATTCGGCAAACATATATAAACATGTATAGATCTCTGTCAACTCAAGCTATCATATATAGCTATCATATATGAAATACATTAGTCGATAAATAAAAGTTCTGCAAACACAAGCGTAAAATTATAAAATATTTTATATAATATTTAAGGCAACTGTGACCTTGCCAAAATAAGGAAACCACCCAAAGTATCAACCTTCAAAATGTGAAAAACAATTATCAGGTTATAAAGTCTACATGAGCAAAACTAAAACTTAAGAAATATTTTTTGTTAGCGCTGGAAACTTTAAAATTGAAACTAGTAGCCCTTACCAGAATATCAACTAAAGTATCTGCCTACTGAATATGGAAGACATTGATAAAAAAATGAAGGTTGCAGTAGCAAAGTTAATAAAAATATTTTTAGCACCTGCAATCTTGACCTTGACCAAAGTAGAATGGCTTAAACCGCTCCTTACATATCGTCACCTATCTACAAAGATGAAAGATGTCCGTCAATTATGGCTATTACTTAAAAGTGTAAATAAATCTATTTTAAGCACTGGAGAGAATTATTTTGAATTTTTGTAACCTCTTTCTGACTAGGATGTGACTAGTATTCTAAATGGCCGTTTTTTTCATATTCTATATGCATGGATGGATTTGAATATAACTTAGCATAAATGTTTTGCCGCGTTTAGTTGACTTGGCCCGCGCAAAATGAAGGTCAATGTTTAGATCACAAGAGATCAAAAGTTAAAAAGAAAAATTAAAATTTGTTTGTTGGCACTGTATTTTGCTTATGCTTTGAAGTTTTATGCTTAGTGGTCGGTAGATATTTATTGAGGCCGAACTAGTTGTAAAAATGGCTTTTTGTTGTTTGGGTGCGCCTGCGTTGAACATGCATCTGAACTTGTCTATGCCATAACTTCTTTGTGCATGTAAAATTTTCAAAAATCATGCATTGAGTTTTTAAGGCACATATATTCGTCACGAGAGTGCGTTGCATATTAACCAGGTCACTTAGTCATAGTCATGGTCACCTTAGATGATACAATGTCAATATCTTGCCTTGGGTATAAGCAGAAGTGTTGCAAACAATATATTAATCTCACTTATGTATACTGTAAACGAGTTATGTACATCTTAAGCTTATAGGTTCAATTTGATTAAAGACCAGCGAGCTTGACATTCTGCCATTGGGCGTGCCTTGTTTTAGATATAGCAGTTGCTTGTATAATTTTAAACGAACTACGTATTATATTGTAAATGAAAGGAATTGAGTCAACTATGTTTGGGAAGCACAAGAAGTAGAAAATTAAAATAAAAAAGAAATGTTTGTTCAGATCTGTTTTAAGGTTAAAATACCAATAACTACACATTTGGAGACAAAACGTAAAAAATTTATAACTGAACTCATTTTATACTTATGCTTAGCAGGTCTTTTGGAGAAGAAACTTATATTGATTGTATAACTATTAGTACATTTCGTAGTGAAGTTGTTCTACTTACAACCTCGTTATTGAAATTGGTAGACATTTAAATATGCCTTGTAACTCACTTGCAACTGGGCTCCTTGCCGCTGGTTCTTGTTGCTGGGTCGTGTGGGTGTTGCGTTCATTGAACGCCACCTTTCCTTGTTGATCTTTTTTTATCATATTTTGTAAAAATTGTACATATACTGAAAATGAGACTAATTTTGTAATTACATATCCTTTGTACATCAGAGAAGTTTAATATTCCATCAAAATATTAAAGTAAGCATTCTTTGCATATATTTTATATGTTGATTTCTACTAAAAAACGTAGATGTAATAAAAACGATTGCAATGTATGTTTACCAAAGTCAGTCAAAAATTTAACTAATCACAACTGTAAGCATCAGTATTAGAACTTTATTGTATACATGTACGAGGGGTTATCCAAAAATTCGTGGACTTTTTAAATATCTTTTTAACAGCAACGTGTATTGTAATGAAATTTTATCAGCATACATTGTAGAATATTATCAACACATTTTGAAAGAAACAGTCAGTTGTGTCCATTAATAATGATTTCATGTTGCTTTTAAATAAGCACATACACGGCACCCGGCGCACGGTAGAAAAACATAGTAAGTCATCGTATATTTTTGCTAAAAACACTTAAAAAAATAACGTAGAAAACCCGCTGAACATCGCATGTTTTTTCTATGATGATCATTTAAGTAATTCTTTAAAATAATGGACGTCATTTACGTTTTTTTTGTTGATATCGCTAGGAAACGCCAGACCGCCTTTATTGTTTACAACTGTAAATGACGGACACGCCGGTAATTAGAAAATCGCAAGATCATATAACGATCATAAATTTTGTTGTAATTTGGGGGCTTACACCTTTAAAAACATTTCATAAATTCAGCAGACGGGGAACAGAGAAAAGAAAATTTCCAAATCATTTAGTGTGTTAAAAAATGGCAAAATAAATTTAGTGATTTGACATTACTTTGAGAAGCAGTTAACCGTCATTACTGCCGTAACGTTGAAGCACAAGTTGTACGTTAATATTATGACGTTGACGTCAATAACTTTTTGGAGTCGCCGCTGTCGCCGCATGTGTTTATGTAAAATTAAATATTGTTGGAATGTAAAAAAGCTACTCACATGAATTTTCGTGTTAAAATTTTTATTAATTCTTCTAGGCCAGTGTAAGAATTTCAAATTAATATCTCAAATATATTTTACGCAACAAAGAAAGTCCACGAATTTTTGGATAACCCCTCGTATGTTCGACATTATTTAAATCTTCCTGTCAACACATACATGTTATTGTTATATACTGCAAAATGTTGTATATGGGACGAAGGCCTTAGAACGAAATAAACTTTGAAACATTTGACAACTTAAAAGCACCTTTCCAATATATTTTGCCTGCCATAGTTTAAAGACATCAATCTATTTAAAGATACATTAGCAAGTAAAATGAGGTTGAATTAGCAAAGAAATTAATTACGCAATTTCTTTATGTACCTGTGACCGTTATCTTGACAAAAAATTCTTTGAGCTCAGCCCTTATGTATCTTTATGTTGGTATCTTATATGAAGATGTCGATCAAAACATAAAGGATCAAAACATGAAGCCAAAAACGTTGAAAACTATTTTAATACTGGTGACCCCTTTTTGATCACCCTAATAGGGAGAAAGTGTCAAAATATATTTTACGTTAGAGGACAACGCAAAGTATCCACCTCCAAAATATAGAAGATTTCTGTAGATAAATGAATTTGCTCTGGCAAACTGTAGAAAAGTGCAGCGAAACCAAGGAAGAATACGGAGGCACGGACTTATCAGCAACTGTATCTCACCGAATTTTCCAGTGGAGCATAAAATAGCTATTCGCTTTAAGATAAATAGATAACTAGTTAGATAAAACCCCAGTAACTTTTTAAATTTTTATGCTCTTTTTCCAAATTTTGGTAACCTGGAAGGAATAAACCCGTTTGCAGACACCCTTTTTATTAATTTTTTTATCAAATTTTGGTTAAATTTTTGTCCAGCGCGCGCCCCTTTTAAAATTTTTCCTTTTTCTCCATTAGGACAAAGTGTAACCAAGGGACATTTAAAAGCGGGTTTAATTAGGGATTTAAAATTTAAAAGAAAAATTTTTTTGAACCAAAAGACTATACATTTTGCCCTCCATTCCGGGCCTAACACTGGTTTGGGGAAAAATTTAATCTTTTTTTATTTTTTAAAGAAAAAAAAAGGGACTTTTTCATTAACAAAGGGGGTAAAAAACAAAAAAATAAAAAAAAAGTTATTCATTTAACAAAAAAAGTATAACAATGTTTTATTTTTCCTTTTGCTAAAATGCGGGAATGCCGATGCTTTTATCTTTTTTCTTTTTCCCCATGGGGAAAGTTTTATCCAGTGGGTTTCCCCTTTCCCAATGCAAAAGGACACAATTCATTTTAACGTCTTAACGTGATAAAAACCCCAAAGTTTTTGGTGTGTTTTCCCACCCTTCTGTAAATTGAAAGGGGCTCGGGTTTCTTTCCCTATTATACTAGGCCCTGATAAAAAATTGGGGGCTTTGTTTTATCCTCCAAAAAAACCCAAACTTTCCTTATACAATTCCAATAAAAACTCGAAAAAGAGGGTTTAAACCAAAATTTTTTGCCAATAACAATCCCTTTTTGGGAAACCCATTTATCCCTTTGTCTTTCCCCAAGGTTTTAAAATAAAATTTACACGAATCACGAATACATGACTTTATATAACTAAACTAAGATCTTAGTCACTTTCGGTAAAAACACTTGTAACTCTAGGTTGTGTAGATAGTGACATATATAGAGGATATTTTTTTGTTTGTGTGTAAGATAAAATTTTATTTCATCGAGTGAGCTAGAAAAACAATATTTACTGTTTTTAAAGTTCACTACTAATGTTTTTTAAAGTTACTTCTAAAACAGTTGAAAATTTTTTTAGATTTTGTCTTTTTTAAAAATCTTTTCCATGTACATGAATGTTAAAATTAACTTTCTATTGAATCCAAAAAAAATTTTCTTTCTGAAAGCCCTTGTTTATAAATTTAAAAGAAATATAAAAAAACCATATAGGGGAAAACCATAATACGGGTAAAATTTTAATTTGTTTTTTTTTTTTAAAAGAAAACTGCCAGTTTGTTAAATGACACTATAGACCAATGTGTCACCTTTTAATGTATTTGTTTTTAAAAAAAAGGGACATACCCTATTTTGTGGGGAAGTGGGTACATTTTATTTAATATTTAAAAAAGACACTTTGTTAGCAATTTTAAAATTTTTCTAATTTTCAAATGGAGTTTTTAGTGTATTTTTAAAGTTTTTAATAAATTGGGGGCATTTTTATAATTTTTTTTTAAAGTTTTAAACGGAGAAACCCCCTTTTTTTAGGTTTTGGGGGAGTTTTTGTCCCTTTAAAAGATTGAATTTTTCTCAAATTCCAAACCTGACAAAAAGTTTTGGGAGATATCATATTTGAAACCTCATGCCTTGACTTTGCATGTTTTCTCTTTTAGGGGCAAAAACATTGTCCATAAAACCAGGGGATTCTCTTTAAATATAAATTTAAGAGTTTGTTTCCCAAGTTTTTATTCCTTATTTTACAAAGGGGATAATTTTAAATTAAAAACAATTTAAAAATTTAAAATTGAATCCCGATTTTTTGAAATTTTACTTTTATAAATATACTTTAAATGAAATAACCATTGAGTAACGTTAAATTAAATTTCGGGAATTTAATTTTACTTTTAAAAGGATAAGTCCTTTTGATTTACAC